ACGTTCTTTTTCGAAGAATGTGCGTTCATGTGTGAACTGCATTTGTTTTAGGATCACACCTGTAGTAATTATTTCAAACAGTCTAAAATATAATGAGGTGTCATAAGTTTACTGGCATTTTGAATGACAAAAACACTTTTCACGTCATGTGAATGCCATATAACCACATTTATCGGACAGAATATTAAAGTAAGATTTTTATGGAATGAAGGTATATTTGAATTCCATTTTACACAGGGTGCTCTGTGCCGTATTCAGTAATTGTATTAAAGATATTAAGTCTGCAAAGCAAGCTTGTGAATTTAGGGTGTACCAAAATTAACTGTACCGTCTTGGTCCGTCTCTAGCGCTCATCGGTTTATTCAAGTTGTTTTGTACAACGGTTCTTTTCCTCGCTAGTATATTTTAAATTTTAGATACTGTCTTAAAGTAGTAGATGAGTGTACAGTTATATTCTCCTCAATTGTAATTTTTCCCCTAGCAAATTCCACTCCCAAAATGCACTCTCTTTGCAGGTTAAGGGCTAACCATGCCAGGGCTCCAACATCTTTTAGCTTCTTTCTGCCATGGAAGTTTTGGTATCTTTCTGTTTTTTCAGAAAGCCAAGGTATTTCACTTCTCTTTGGGTAGCAGCAGGGGATGGGGCTGGCAAGGAGAGGGGAGGGAGGCTGGAAGGGAGGAGAGATCGGAGAGCAGTGAAATTCCCTCCATCCTCCTCACTCCCAAGTTGGAGCTTATTGAAACCAGTGCTTTCTCGTAACCATTTCATTCACAGCAGTTGGCAACTTTTATATCCCAGAGAACATTTTTTGGGCATTGGAGAGAACAGGTAACAGAGGATCCATAATAGCTGACTTCCTGGAATTCGTGGAGCAGGAAAGCGGGTCACTAACAGGCACTTGAGCAATTCAAACCACATCAGCTTTGTTCTTGTGATATAAAAAGTATACATTGCAAGGCTGATTAGTACTTTACTTTTCTCTCTCATTTTTAGAAGTTTTTTTGTATCTTAATTTTTCTAGATTTTTGAAGTTTAAAACAAACCGTCCTTTAGATATCTGTGCTTTTCTGAATGTGTTTCCTGGACGAAGAGGAAAATGTGTCACCAAATATAACAAGGGATTTAGTATTTTTAAAACTGCTGTACTCTGAGAACTACTTTGTTGTTGATTGATTGGTGAAAATGGAGATAATGCTTAGCTAATAATGTTATACTTAAACCTTACTAAGTTTGCTCCAAGGACTTACCTTATCTTATGGCAACATACTTATGATAGTTTTTAATATTAGCACATAGAAGACACCTTTTGGCAAAGATATATGGCCAACAAGACATAGAGGCAGATTTTCTGCTTAATCAAACCAAAATAATCTTCTAATGCTGTGTTAGGATCTGGCCTGTGGCATGAATGAGAAAGTGGTATCACTAAATGTCACAATATCGATTGCAATTATTACCTTTAAGAAAGGGTCGTATAAGATGCCTGGGACTCTGTGAACTCAGTGGTGTGAACGATTCTTAATGAGATCCGTGATAAAGATGTCAAGGCAGCCAGAGCTGTGAGTTTGTGTAGTGTGCTTAGGGGCGCTGTTCGACAAATGGATTTTGAAGTAGTCCGATAGTAACCACTGCAGAGGGCAGGCAGTTACGTTTTGGGCAAAATACAACTTGAAAGAAAGGATGTGATTATTAAATTCTTTCACCTTCTGTACATAAAGAGACGATTGCCATTCAGCTTTTAGGAAAATTCAGTGTACCTGAAAGACTAATGCTTTTCATACATTTGTAGATTTGCAGAAAGAGAAACTATTTTACGAATATGGGGAGAGTTAGAGCTTTCTGCAGAAAGCTGTTATGTTGCATTTATGGTGATGTGTTTGTGATTGAGTTAATTTAAATTGTTGAAGTTTTCAGTAAGAAATTAAATATTCTTAAGTAAGAGTGGGAAGGAAAAATGGCAACTATTACGTTTAAAGAATGAGGAGTATTTCTTAGGAGTTCTGTGGTACTTTTGGATCACCTCAGTCTCGCTGGCACTCAATCTCTATGGCACATAGCTAAGATTATAGCAGCCTTGGCAAATTTCAGTCATACAGATTGTACTTCCTGCAGCACAAACAGCCTTCAGAACTGATTAAGAAGAGTCAAATAACTGCAGAACAATTTTAAAATACAGTTTTAATGAAGTATCGAGTCTGGCAGTAGACAAGAGTTTCTTTCACGCTGCCCTCCTGTTTAATCTCTCACAAAAGGAGGCTCTGCTAACGCTGCTGCAGGCAGACGTGTGCTGGGCTCTGGGGCTGTTCCAGCAGGACGCTGTGGAGGAGCCGCACGGTGTCAGACCAGCGGCATGGGCTGAGCCTATGCACAGGAGGACACAGTAGAGGGTAGCACTGAAAAGGGGGTAGATCTGCTCTTAGTTCCTGTGGAGATGTAACCCTGAAAGTCTCGTATGGTTCTGCTAATTAAACGAAGTAACTCTGGAATATGTTGTTCAGCATCGTCCTCTTGGTAACGGGTAACAGATAATCCCAACAGTCTTGCGATAGTAACATGATTTCTGCCGTTTCAGTGTGGTATTTTTACTGACAGTTGGTAGAAGCAGCTTAATAAACTGCATAAGCAGTTGGCATGCACTGCAAACTTCAGTTTTGCTCTCTGAATCTTAAAAGCATTAGATGTTTCTTCCAATTTAATATCTGCATAATGGATATGGATGGCAGGATATGCTGCTGCCAGGCAGCTCTCAGCAGCCTCTAACAGGCTAGCGTAGACTTCCAGAGCAAAGGCGTTTTTCCACTCACGTTATCCGTCCTGTGCCAGATATGCTGAGCCTCAGTTCTTGCACAAGGCACTAATAAAAGTTGTGCTTCAGCCCTGTTTTTCCCAGCTCTGCATGCTGTAGTTTGCACCCGGGGGTGGACCAGGCAGCGTGTGAGCGCAGTGTGACTCACCTCAGTCCCGCTCCCCTGCTCCCGTCCTCGCTGGCTCTCGCCCTGCCAGAGCAGTGTGGCACGGGACTCCTCCAGCCTGCTTCTCCCTCTCCCCTCTCATTTTTTAAAAAATCGTTTCACTAAGGTTCCTCTCATTGTAAAGAACAAGATGGAAATGAATTCTTGGGCCGTTGCTGCCAATTTCTTCCAGCTAGGGAATCAGTAGAAAAGCACCATTATCACTGAATTTCATACAGGCAGCTGTGGAAGACAAAAAACTCCCTTCGTGTCCATGCTGGCTACAGTAATTCTTTAGCCTCCTGTGCAGTGTCTGTGCAGTCCATTTTTTGGCAGGTATTCCAGAGTCATGTTGCATTATTTCCTCTCGTGCTTTGCTCTGTTCTCCTCTCCTCCCTCTCGGGTTACTGTCTGGAAATGTTTTTGCAGCTCTTGTATCTGCTTGCTGACATGGCACTTTGGTTTGCATGTTAACGTGGTTGATCTTTTCAGAAAGCAATTTTAACCGATTGTTCAGTTATTACATATAGGAATAAGCTGATGGACACAGGCCATTTGAAACTATGCAAAATATCTGAATTAGAAAAATGCTTTCTACACTCCTATTATTTTCTCCTTCTTGTAGAAGGGAACAAACAATTTACAGCTTTTAGGCTTTGACAGCTTTGAGCACTTTTCTGGCTGCAGTGTAAAATAGTTCCTTCATGCTGCCATCCATTACCAACTCCCTGAGTTTTCAGCAAGGTTGGGCCTGTGCTTCTCTTGTGTCAGAGCTGAGTGTGCTTCCCCGGCCAGGGCTGGGGGCTTTGCAGAAGCCAGGCAGTCCTGCTCCCGTACACCTCTGAGTCACTGGACTCAGCCTTTTGCCCGAAGTTTAGTCATGTGAGCTTACACATTTCAGCCTTATGAAACGAGTGGGGGTTTTGTTGCTTTTGTGTTTTATTTGGCTTTTGAAAGTTCTGGTTCTCAAATCTGCCAATCTGGGACCCTGCACCTTTTGTTACCTTATTCTGTGTTAGAGGTACGTGTTCAGTGAGCGAGGCACTGTGCAGTTTTAACTAATCATAAGCAAGATACTCAGAGTCAAAAGTGTACAGCATGTCCCCAAGAACTATGCAGAGGACAGATATTTTGTTGGCTCAGGATTTCATAATCCAGTGTGAAAAAAACTGGAGGGAAAAAATTGTTTCTGTTGGTTGTAAATAGCTGGAATTTGTGGGGGAGAGTTTGTTGTTTGATTGGTTGGTATTTTTCCTTCATCTCTCTGTTTTTTGCTAGTTCTTAATATTAATGCTTCAAACAAAAATTGAAACATTTGATATTCTAAGAATGCTTTTTTTTCTTTTTCTTTCCGTGTAAGTGGAACTGCTTGGGGCAGCCCATTGTCAGCTCCTGGCTCTGGTAGAGGTGTCCTGACTATTTCTGTTTCCACTGGAGCTGTCTCAGTTGAGCCCCTTTCACATCTGCTGACTTAATTGTCTTCTTCTGAAGCCAACTCTGTTGTGTAACCGTTTTGGGGTATGCATATGCTCGTGATCGAAGGGGCTAAAGTATATATCCATACCCTTCCTATTCCCCACTTTGCACTCAGACTGGCTGTTTCTCCAATCAGTTTTGATGCTTGGTACAAAACAGCATCCCCATTGCCTTGAAGTCAGCCCTGAGGCTTCAACCTGAAGTCCTTTTTTGTCACTGTCTAGGAATGGTGCACGTTTGAAGGAGTAAGAAACTTTGGAATCTGAACGCTAACAAATCTCAAGTGAATATAAGTTAATGAGGTTTCTGAATAGGCTGAATTTTGGTGGGTGGATTTCTGCAAGGACAGCAAGGTCATCCTGCTGGGCAGCAGTACTCTTCTGTGGCCTATTTTGACACTGTGCCTATTAGTTAACACCAATATTTAAAATTCCAAAATGAGAAGTCCCACTAAGCTTCTGAGCAGTTCTTTATTTACATTAAATAAATGTAACTTGAGGTATTATGATCTTCTCTGATACGTGCAGCTAAATAACTGTCATCATTTCTGTTTGTTTTTGTTTACCTGGTAGAAAAGAGTGGTGGAACAGCTTCGAAAGAATTTGATAGTGAAGCAGGAACAGCCAGACAGTAAGTTTCAAATACAGCCATTGGCACAGTCAGAAAACAAACTACAGACACCGCAGCCGCAACCACTACAACAGCTACAACATCATCATCAACAGCAGCAGCAGTCTACTGCACCCTCTCCAAACGTGATTGGATCACAGGTAAAAATCTCTGCTTTTCCTTGCTAAAGGTGAAGTTCACCAAAAAGAAAAAAATCAAAGAAAAGTGCAGAGGAAGAACTGCAAACTTTCACTTGTGCCCGTTAGTGTACCGACATAAATTTCTCCTTCTATACATATGCAGATATGGGTCTTGTGGGGGTTTTTTGGCAATAGTCTCTGAAATTAAAAACAAAATTATGTAGCGTTTAAAAATCTAATCATAACCTCACAGAAAAGAAGGATTGTAGTATTGCCTTTCTTCAAACTAAATGAAAGTTTAGCAAATGAATCTTTTCAATAGGTGCATTGAATGATTGTCCATACAACAAGAAACTGCCTCAAGAAACAGTATAAGACTTTACACACACCATATGAGATGTATGATATACTTTCTTTTTGAAAGACTCTGTCCACTGTACCAGTGAACAAACTGTAAGAAAACAGTTCCGTCTTCTCCCTGCTTGGTTCTTTTGAACAGATGTAATTAATACTAAATTATCACAGAATCACAGAACGTTAGGGATTGGAAGGGACCTCAAAAGCTCATCCAGTCCAATCCCCCTGCCGGAGCAGGAACACCCAGATGAGGTTACACAGGAAGGCGTCCAGGCGGGTTTTGAATGTCTGCAGAGAAGGAGACTCCACAACCTCTCTGGGCAGCCTGGTCCAGTGCTCTGTCACCCTCACTGAGAAGAAGTTTCTTCTCCAATTTAAGTGGAACCTCCTGTGTTCCAGAATAGTTAATCATATTTACTTGAGTTTACAAGGATTCGTCTAAAAGTGTACAGTGTTAATTGCAAAGTTTGAGTTTTAGAAAGTAGTGTCTTTATTGGGAAAGTGCCCTGAATGTCAGTACAGTGTAGGATTAGAGACATAATCCCAAAACTCACAGAAAAGATGCTCTGCTTCTACTGAGAGGGGAGTTCCAAGTTTCTCCCGTTCAGATATTTAGAATCCCAAAAGTGTGCTAATAAAACAGATAGAAAGTTTGAGGAGGTGTTTTGTAAAAAGAAGGGTATGTGAGGGTTTTTTTGATTGGTGCAATCTCAGCAGCTCACGTTTACCTGGGTAGGGCAGATGGCAGAAGTCACCCGTGAAGTTCACTCGATGCACATTGCAGTGAGCCACAACCGTAGCTTTGACCGATGGTGATTCTTGTCTTCCCTTTTCCTGAAAGTAGAGGAGGGAGAAGTGGTTGGGCTGTTGGTTCTCTCATTAACTCAGCGAGTTGGTTTGGATGTGCTCAAAAAGTATATTTGTGAAGCTTAGATACTTTTGTATTTCTGAGAAAGAATGTTGAAGAAATGAAGCAAACTTAGCTAAGGAAAGGACATTTCTGAGCAGCAACATCAATATCAAAGCTAAAACAGAACAAAGTAGTAAATAGTACTGTGTCCTAAAATATTTCTAGGCAAACAATGGATCACTCTTTGCTGCATCACTAATCTCTGTTTTTCAGTCAGGAAACATGACCACAAAAGCAGTTTCATGTGTTACTCCGTATTCCACACTTTGCTTTCATGCATTAACTTCCAGGTCATCTCCTTGGCTATAAAAATTGAGGTTTTGCTCAAAGTTAAAGAGCCCTCTAGTGAGAGAGTCAAAAAACTGCTATACCCCTCTGACCATCATTGATACAGTTGTGCTTGGGAAGTCATTACAAACTGAAAGGCAGGTTGTCCTCTCATATGAATAAATAAGTCAGCTTTTATTCTTAACACGTCTCTTTTTATTTATGTTGGTATAATTCTGACCTCACTTCTGTATACATTTTGCATCTAAGGTTGTGTCTCTGTCCTGTTGACTAGTGAAATATTCTGTCTCTAGATTTTGGTGCATACTTTTGTAAATAATACATCTTTCAAGGCTGTGTCAATTCAGAGTGATTCAATTTAGGTATCAAGGTATACATATGCTGCCTTAATAGTGACATTTTAATATACTTAATATAGTCCAGTAAGCAGGGCTTTTTAAATTTTCATAAAGCACCGAACCTGCTAAAAGGTCATATTATTGCAATGCTATTATGTGAAATAATGCAGACTTACTATGAATGCCACTTCAGTATGAATTCATGCATTGAAAACTTTTTAGAATAGCGAGGGTAATTAATGCTCGGCAAAGTAAGAGGGATATTCAAGCTCTGTGATCTGCTGACTGAAACTGTACTCTGAGTACTTACAGACTTACTAGAACCCCTTGAAAGAGTCACAGTCTTGTATTACATGATTGATTACACTTGTCTTTAAAATGCTTATGGATGAATGTAGTGCTTGTGAAAATGATACCATGTTACACCTCATTGGAAAAGCTTGAATGATGTTACTGCATTAGGGGAATGGAGCCTCTTGCTTTGGAGAAGGTGTCGCACAGGTCAATAAGAAGCTTTTGAATCTCAGATAAAAAGTTAAGGGAATTGATCATGTTGCACTAAGGAAAAGTTGATTCTGTCTGGGTTGTGCATAAATGTATAAAATTGAAGCATGAATTATCCTTTGATTTGGCATTATACGGTGTTTGGTTTTTTTCACACTCGTGCATAATTAATAGGGGATATAGTTTAGGCATTATGAAATTTAGGGGTGTGAAGGTCAGCTGCGTTTCTGATTAAGGGAATAATATTGGTGAAAATGCTGAAGAGTCCAACTGGAAATATATTGTTTTACTAGAAAGAAGAGAAAGGTCTTGTGTGTTTCAGTCAGGCGTGTTCAGAACATGAAGAAGGCTGCCTGGTCTCTAGCTCTCCATTTTTCCTGTTGAAGAGCCTAGTGCTAATGTCAGGAGAGAATGGTGGTTATATCATACTGACATCAGTTGATCATGCCAATAACTGTTTTGAAGATGCAGTGCTATTGGTACGGTGGATTTTTTACATGAAAGAGAAGAGAAATAACCTCATTGCCATTCTGTTGAGTGTCACTTGTTATGAGTTTTGTGTTCTGGTTTTATATGGAGGCTCTCTTGCCTTGTTGCTTTTTGAATGAGATTTGTAATTCTCTGTTTTCCTTAACGTCTTAGAAGACAGCATGTTTTAAAACACAACTGTGAAATTATAGTTGTTTTAACTTTGGAATTTGTGGGCATAGTGTATTCAGGAATTTCACATAAATGCTAGCTTTAAGTGATTCAAAACCACTCTCTGTAAAGCAGGCCAAGAACAATCATGGCATTGCACATGGCTTCCAAACCCACCCCATTCCACAGATGTTGTCTGCAGCTGGATGGGCAAGCTGCCAGATCTTTTAACTTCAGGATAGCCCTACTGATATTGTTAGGAAAGAAAGTTAAGGGCTGAATAACTGCACGTATGGCTAAAACTGAAATTTGGAATAGTCAAAATCAAAATATGTTTTTGTTCTTAAATAAAACAAGTTATAAGTGTGTGATAGATAGACTCAGTGCTGCCTTTTCTTTCTCTTACTATTATTTCTGACTAACCAACCCACGTCCTGTCTGATATGAAGTGTCTCTGTCTCTTACAGTGTATTTTCTGTTCCCCTTAGAAAACTGTAACTACAGCTTCTATGATCACCACTAAGACACTACCTCTCGTCTTGAAAGCAGCAACTGCGACCATGCCTGCCTCTGTGGTGGGTCAGAGACCTACCATTGCCATGGTTACTGCTATCAACAACAATCAGAAAGCAGTCCTCAGCACTGATGCGCAGAATGCACCAGTCAACCTCCAGACAACAAATAAGGTCACTGGGCCAGGAGCTGAGGCAGTCCAAATAGTGGCAAAAAACACAGTAACTTTGGTAAGCAGATACGTGTGGGTTTGTTTCGCAAAAAGGCTATTGGGGGAAAAATAAATAAATAAGCAGTCGTATTTATCCAGAGAAAAGAGAATAGTAGGGATACGTCATGAGTCTTCACTGGTTGACATTGTTAAAATGATAGTCTAAGAGAAAAGCATTTACTATCTACATGGGTTGTTATTACTGTTTTGCTTTATATAATTAAATCAGTGCTTTCGTCACCTTTGTGTAAAGTGTCCCCTGTTAGTAATTGGGGAAGTAATGATTATTTCGCCCCTATCTAACCTGTGTGGCTGTACTCTGCAGCATTCCTACTCTTTCCTTTGGTCAAGGAGATGTCAGACTTTCTTAATTTCATCAGTTTGGGTTTTCATGTTGGATTTTTTTGAGTCAGTCTCTCCTTCCCTTTGTGCAATAAAGTCTCTGGTGTTAGATACATTACTTAACTCTGCCCACTACCATGTCTTCCCTCACCACTTTTTCATACACATGCTTCTTTAAGCATATATTGTGGAAGGTGCTTTGATACATTACATACTTTTTTTTCAGACTAGTTAGCCACCTGGAAATAAAAGCAGCAGTGTTTTATAGTTGGGTTATATAGGCTTAGTCTGGAAACCAGGCATTGTATAGCATTGTGGCTGGGAAATTTTACTTCTGGAGTAAAGGCTATGGCTTTACTAAACATAAATCCAATTTATCTTTGTATAAAAATACAGTTTAGTAATGCAAATGGAAATAATTGTGCTTCCTTATGAGGCATACGTTTGCAATCAGAACAGAGAAGACTATTGGAGTTTTTTCTACTGTTCTCTTTCCCCATCTCAGCCCTTGCGCCACTCTCATCTGTCCTTTGTGTCTGTGCTTCATTACTTTGCTGAATAACTAACTTAGGTTTGGGAGAGGTGATTCTATTTTGATAAATAGTCCATGACTTATGTTCCTGTAGCACATTTAGTCAACAATCTCATAATATTTTGCCAGCCATTAATTAAGTAGTACAAGAGATTGCAGTCTTACATGGATGGACAGAAGTAAAGAAGGGTGGACACTAACATGGACACGAATTGCAGAGAATCTCACTGGGTGCTCAACTGAGGGTACCTAGTAGTGCTATTCAGAGGTTAATCGTGTGGCAGCTCCATTCAACTGATTTCACTTAAACAAGGAAGTTCTTAGGATGACTTAAAATCAGATCTTAATTGTTTCAAATGAATGGCTTGCTTTTGAAAATTTCATGTTGTGTATTTATAGCCCCTCATAGTGTCATCAGTATTGCTAGGAGTTGTGACTTCCAGATCTTTTCCACTTGCATGAGATGCTCTTTCAGTCTTCTGTATGCCACTCATTATGAAAGTACAGTGGTTCCTACAGCTGGACGTCAAAGTCTGTTATTTTCTGTTTGTTGTAAAGCCAATTTTTAACTATTAAAATGGAGTTTGAAATGGTTTTAGATTGCAGATCAAAGTTGTTAGTACAGTTGAACTTCCTTCAATTTATGAAGCAAGGTGTTTAGGAACTGGAAAGTAAGATTAGCTCTGTTTTTAATACATTTCTACTCAAGGAACTTGTTGCTGTGAAAAATTATTTATGGAGTGGAAAACCAGGGACATCTGAAAATACATCCAGGATGTTGATTTTAGTGAGCAACTTCAAAGTTACTTTCCTCTTACTGAACTCTCTTTTGATTTTACAGCAGGTTCAGGCTACGCCTCAGCCCATAAAAGTGCCGCAGTTCATCCCTCCTCCCAGACTTACTCCTCGTCCAAATTTTCTTCCACAGGTGAGTCTACAGAGAACAAGCAAGAGAAGAAGGAACTTAATTATAGCATAGATAGAAATACTTTCTATGAGCACCATTTTTGTCTCCTGGTGGAGGAGACAGTTCATTCTCAACAGATTTGTGGATGATGCCAGATTTGAGAGTTATTATTATTATTCTTGAGGGCAGTGCTGGCGTTCTGAGGGCCCCAAACAGGACAGAGGAATTAGC